TCTCTTTCCACTGAAAGATGGATGAGTAAGTTCCGGTACTAAAAAACTTGACAACCAGGCAAGCTCCGGCGCCAAAATCCCGTCACTTGGCCCGCTGGCCAAGTGCCAACCCTCACGCACGTCTGGCGAGCGCGTGATTTGGCGGGAAAGTTGCTAACTCGGGAACGAGAAAAGCTAGAAGCCTGAAATTTCAGTTAGGGCAATGCTCATACTCATTTACGACTAAAGAATTTTAAATTCAGCTCCTTAGAACCGCCCATGTCTCACTTCTGGACATGTGAAAGTTTTGATGAGAAAATTAACAACTCGGATATGAGAAAAGCTGAAAGGCTGGAACTTCGAGAGAATGTTCCTTACTCATGTGCGACTAAAAGATTTCAAATCTAGCTCTTCTGATGGGGACTTTTTCGCGCTCCAGCAACTTCCTATTTCTCGGGTCACTGAAGCCAGCATCTACAGCTGACGTGACACGTGGTTGCACAGTTAACTTCCTGAGTTTCAGAGCCCAGTATGTCATAAATTCTAATTGTGATTCCTTGCGACCTTGCTACAGCACGAAATAGTGCAAAAACGCATGATCCCGGCTCGCTTGATGCTTTCCAGACTGGATTCTGTATTGTATCACTTCTGAGCATCATTCTTGCAGTTGGCGGAATTACACTTGTTGCAGTCGTTTCTCATATCAGTTCAGCTGATTTATTGTGTTCTCAACAAAGTAACTTGAACATATGTGCTCACATTGCAGATAATTACCAACGTCATATTTTGCGTATTTGGTAGAGGCGAAGCATGTAAATGGACAACAGAAGAATTTATTATAAAGAAGGCAACAAGCACACCGGAACTCTTCGTTACAAGTCTTCAGCAAGCATCGCCGGGCAAAGTTCTCCCACAGCCAGTACAGAAACTGCACAATGATTTAGCGCAGTGCAGTTGATTTTTTGCCAAGTCGAAGCAGACGTGCTATAATGCTGCCTTTAGAACTGTACTTATTTTGTGAATCCAGAATTTATCCATTCGTGTGAAATTATTGAAGGATTGACCTTGTGCTTAAAATTTGGGCATGCAATGAGCCAGCGGCTACTTTTCAACATGGAAGCTCTACGTTCCGCTACACGTTGCCTCACTATGCCATTTATTGCTTTAACTTGAAAAATAATAAGTTTCGTTTTTCACACATTTATTTTTGTGTCTTGAATATGCAAAAATGTCTGTTTATGTGAAACGGTGCTTGTAAATATGAGTAAAAACTTACTTTATTTTTTTCACTTCTGCATTTTAGCATACTCTTGGGTGAATCGTCTTGAGTAGTAATCACTGAACCAGCAAGTTTGGCAGCCCATACTAAATCGTTGGAGACGCACACCAGGCGGGCCGGTACGATCATGTATTTTTGCGCTATTTCGTGCTGTTACAGGCACGCATGGAATCTCAGTAGCTAGGATTTGTGACATAGTCGTTCTCGAGGTTCAAGAAGTTTATTTTGCAGCTATGTGGTGTATCAGTTGTAGATGTCGGCTTCAGAGACCCGACAAACGGAAAGTTGCTCGTGCGTGAAAAAACCACACGAGAAGAGCTGAACTTTAAATCTTTTATCTGCACGTTAACAAGGGGTATTCCTCCCTTAAAATTCTAGCCTTCCAGCTTTTTTTTTCACGACTTAGCAGTTTCTCTCCAAAGTTTTCCCGTGAGGTCCAAACTGCTCTAAGGAACTGAATTTGAAATCTTTTGGTCGTATGTGAGTAGAGGATATTCCCTGAAGTTTCAGCTTTCTAGTTTTCCCCGTTCCTGAGTTAGTAATTTCTCCGCCAAAACTTTCACATTCCCATACGTGAGAGGTAGAAGTGCGTGACATTTGATATCATGTCGCAGTGGTCTCACCTGGCAGGGAACACAATTGCAAAATTTCAGCATCAAAGCTTGCGTGATAGCCGAATAAGAATACTACCCGGACACACGAACACACACACACACACACACAAACATACAAACAGACAGGGTCGATGCAATATGCGTCTTTGCTGCCTGTTGCAGCATTCCATCCTGTGTGTGTGGGTGTGTGCATTTTATCTGCAAGTTTCAGCTCGGGAACCACTGAAGCTAGGAAGCCGAAATTTTAAGAGGGGACCCCTTACTCGCTTGTGATCTCGCAAAATTCAAATTCAGCTTCCGCGCATCAAGGCTTCATGCACAGTCACGTGAAAGTTTTGACGTTTAGATTAATAACTCGGGAAGCACAGAAGGTAGAGAGCTCTAATATTAGGAGAATGTGCCTTGCCCACGTATGACTCTGTAAATTAGATCTCACGGAGGGGCACATGAAATTTTAGATAACAAAATTAGCAATTCAGGAACCAGGGAAATTAGGAGGCTGAAAATTTAGGAAAACGTCTCTGCATGGGTATGACCCCGCAAATTCAAATTCGGCTTTACCGCATACTTGAATCGCACGTAGAGATGCGTAAAATTTTTGAGTGCCAAAACGTACACCAGGGATCGTGAAAGCTAGAAAGCTGAAATTTCAGAATAATGCTTCTGCCCACGCATGAATTCAAAATTTGTATACGCCTATGTTTTATGTATGGACACGCGAAGATTTTGGCGCCAAAATTAACAACTCAGGAAATGTAAAAGCTAGGGAGTCAGAATTTTAGGGATAATATTCCATGTCCGTGTATGACTTCGTCATTTTAAAAAAATCACTGATAACGCGCACTGGACGGGCCCGTGCGGTCATGCGTTTCTGCAGTGCGGTCATGTGTTTCGTGCTGTAATGAGATCGCTCGGAAACCCAGTAGCTAGAAATGTGTGAGATACTGGTCCTCGAATTTCGAGAAGTTAATTGTTTACGCTGTATTTGGACAGGAAACACACCCTAAAAATTTCAGCCCCCAGCCTTTCTGGTTCTGAAGTTAGCCGTTTTCCCGCCAAAAATTTTTACGGGGCCATACGCGACAATCATGCACGCCCGAGGGCTGAATTTGATATTTTAAGATGTAGATTAGCTGGGGACATTAACCGGAAAGTTTCAACCTCCCAGCTTCTTTGGTTCCCCAGCTAGCCATTTTCCCGTCAAAAATCTCCACGGGGCTGTGCGTGAGAACCATGCATAACCAGGGCTGAATCTGATAAATTTAAGTTGTACATGGACTGGGAGCTCCCCTTTAAAATTTCAGCCTCCTGGCTTTCCTTTTTCCCGAGCTAGCCAGCCATTTTCCCGCCAAAAAATTTCACGAGTCTGTACATGAAAATCATTGGCGACGGGCACTGAGCTGGCCCGTGCGACCATGCGTTTTTGCAGTGTTTCATGCCGTAATAAGATCACTCGAAAATCCGCTAGCTAGAAACCTCGTGTACATACTAGTCTTCGAATTTCGGGAAGTTAATAATCCACGCTATACTTGGACAGGGAACATTCCCTTGAAATCCCAGGTTCCCAGCTTTCTCAGTTCCCGAGTTACCCAAACTCTAGTCAGAAAATTTCGCGGGGCTGTACGTGGCAACCGTGCATAAAGGGGGGTTTATTAAATTTAAGTTGTAGATGAGTTAGA